ATCAATGGGTAAGTTTTATTTAAGTTGTTTCCATATTTTTAAAATTATACGTACGCAGCAATTGATTTATTTCACTTCAATGAGGTACTGCATTAGATATTTTATTCCAATTTTATCCCATTTCGTAGGGAAGGTACTCATTCGTTTTGAAACGTGAATTTATTCATTTGCTTCATTAGAATAATCGACAGAATGAATTTTCGTAAATTTATTCTTTTTCCTTTTTGAAGGCTTAAAATAAATACAAGATACTTGGTCTGGGTAAATAACAATTAATTGGTTTATCTCCTATTCACGAATTACGAAGAACTTAATATTATTCTTAACTTCTTAATTCATTATTCAATTTAACTTTCACCTAATAGCTTCCTGTTATACCGACGATATACTGACGTTATACCGACGTTATACCGACGTTATACCGACGGTATCGATACGTTTGTTCACGACGACGATCGGCCGTCATATTCGAAGCTGTCGCTTACGCTTTCGCGCGCCCGGTCTATGCACGCTCTTATTGGTCAGTGTTTTTTGCTAATAACTCGAAAATGGAGCCTCAACCAATATTTTGGCAAAGGAAAAAGTTGTTCAGAATCGCCCCACCTACCACCCCTTTTCGGGTCCTACACTAATTGCGGGACACCCTGTATACACTAATTAATTAATAATATTAATGATCGTTAATTACTAATACATACATTAATTCTTGATAAAATTCAACACAGATTTCAAGAAAATCGCCTTAACAAATTTTATAACTTAAAATAGGGAACTTGTGAAATGGTTATATGATCGTATTGGTAATTCTGATGTTAATATCAGTTTTAATATTGTCAAAGCTTTTATTAGTCATCTGGAAATTCTATAAATATGTTCTCAATAGAATAGATTAATGTTTCGAAAATGTTCATATAATGTACCATATGTAAAATTTAAAAAAATGGAAAAACTTGAAATTTCATTCCATCCTTGAATTCTAAAAAATATTGAATTAAAATTTATTTATTTTTTAAGGATTACTTTATTTCTTTCAGTACTATTAATACTTAGAAAGTGCAAGTAAATTATGGCTTTATTGCTACTAGATCTTGTTTTAATTTTGCACATCTACAAAGTTATTTTAATGTTTCCTAAACTTATGATATAATCGATCCTCAATTGTACTATAATTAATATTGAACTTCAAACCGAATTGTGATGAAAACATGAGTCTGAGTTTGTTAGATTTGGACTGCAACGTGCGTCAGGAGTACATCAAGACATAGGGCAAGGGGTTAACTAATTAATCAGATATATAGGAATTGAATGTAATCTATTTACCTTTCGCTTTCGCTTGTTCGTAATCAGGCTTGCAAACAAGCTTCCTGTCCTCCATGAGGTAGAATTCGTCGCCAGTGTCCAACTGTCGAGAGCAAAGGGCGCACGAGAAACAAGTTAGATGGTAGACCAATTCTTGGGCCCTACGCACAACTTGCGACGGTGCCAACCCTTGGCCGCAGCCCGCGCATTTCGTCCCGAAACGCCTGCCACACCAACAACACACAACATTTTCACATTACGTTCGTGCATTAGTGACAGCAACGTGTCGCCGTATCACGGTGATACTGCCTTAAAAATAGAAATTTTTTCTTATTAAAAACTATTAGGTAGATTATTAACTCTAGGGCTTGTATAATGAACTCGGCGATATTGTTAGAGATGAATATGTTGAAGTGGAAAATTCTGGGGAATTAAATTGTTATACTTTCCATTGAAATTCTAATATTTTCGATTTTTCAAAATCATAATTTAAAATTTATTTACGTATTGAATATTTAAAAAAAAACTTGAACATTGAACATTTGAACAAAATTGGAATATTTTAAAATTTTTTAATTTCCAGGTATTTAAATTTGTAGATTTTAACATTCTTTAATTACTAAGTTATTGAACCACACATGCTTTGACATTTTAAAGTTTCAAATTTCTAAATTGCTAAATAATATGATATATTTGTAAATTCCTGTCTTTCGAAATTCCGAAATTCCAAATTTCAAAAGTTTAGAAATTCAAATGTTATTTTAAGAATTTGAGAAGTTAGGCTTTAAAAATATTTTAATTTCTAAATTTCTGAATTCATTATTAAAACCTTAAATTAATGAATTTCCAAACCTCAAGTCATTAATTCCTAAATTCTTAAATCACTGTATTCCGAAATTCCTAAATAATGTAAATTCTTAAATTCTTGAATTTCTAAACCCCAAATTCGTAAATTCCTAAACTTCTAAATTTCTATGTAAACTTGCAAAATCTAAATCTCGGATTCCTGTATTTCTTTCAAAATTTTCACCTTCTATCACTTTCAAATTCTTAAGTTTTTGAACTTTTAAACTTCTTAATTTTCAAATGCACATATGTTCAATTGCCAAAATTTTTAAATTTGGAAATTTGTATTTATATATTTAGAAAGAAGCTTGAATATTTGTAAGTTTCTACCAATAAGTATAATACTTCAATTTTGAAATAAAGTAATTTAAAAATTTGAGAATTTTAAAATATGGTAAATTGTACATTATTAAATCTGAGAACTTAAAATCTAGAAAATTTGAAATTGTTGAAACTCCAAAATTCAGAAAAGTTTAAATTACAATCCTAGTATTAAACGGAGGTTTTGTGCTTATATTTGTCTGACTGATAGTGGGGAATATAATAAATGTTCAGTATAATTTCTTTAAAGAAGAATCTACTGAACTGACAATACAAGATATGGTAATATAACCGAACTCTACGTAGAAAATGAATACAGCAGTATAAATTGACTATCAATGTGGTTTCTCTGTCTTCATGTTCAGTATCCAATTCTCTGTTGGGAATATCTTGCCATACATTGAAGCGGAAATTATGCTAACTTAGTTCTTCATAATATTAATACAGCGGGAATTTTTTATTTAATCTGTATAACTATTTTGATATAATTATTGCTCGAACAACTTTCATTCTTCATACTTTATCAAATAGAACAGTATACTAAAAATAAGTGGCAGATATTTTAATTCATGTATGTAAAGTACATTACAATATATAATAAAATACGACGCATGTAAAAAATTTTTTTTTATCGCAATTTGATAAAAATGTGTTAATACTCATTTTTATACAACAAATAAAGCAATGTAATGTGCAGGTTAAGCAGATTTAGTTGTTAAATATACGCAATTTCTGTTTTTTTTTATTATTTTGCGCGTTGCACGGAGAACGCGATATATCCGATTGGTCTGTGGTTTTGTTTAACCAGTTAAGTGTGTTTGACGACTATATCCATCATGCGTAAAATTTTGTTACAATTTGATATTTAAATTGTAACTTTGGCGAAAACTAAATTATATTTTTAAATTGTAATATGTTTAAAATGTTTAGAGGTCAACACGAAATGAAATAAACAAATAAAAAGTGTAAATGATTTGAGATGGATTCATAAATTCTTGAGAGCTAACTCGTCATCGTTTGATTATCGCGACACACACTGGTGTCCGCTTTGCAAAAAGATCGCCACAGTTAACTGGTTAAGAAGATCTTTGGTACCTCTGTTTCAGGGTTGGAATTTTGAGGATCATTCTCGTATATGATATGCCACATAAATTCAATATACAAATAAATGTGAAGTTCTAACGGAATTAGAAGTTACTGCGTTAACCATAGAAAGTACCAGATTATGTTTTATAAGAAGGTATTTATCACCAATGCAGTGACGCTATATGAAAGAACCTATGAGATTATAAACCTCTTATTGTTAGAGTATTTGTTAGCCGATAATGCCTCAATCAGCGTGCAAATAAATAAAAGTACTATTATACAATACGAGAAAGCAACAGATCTTGCTGTGACATATCTATGACATATCAGTAATTTTTCTGAAGTATGTTTAGTCATAAGAAAGTCTTCAAAGTCACAAATTTTCGTATTGCAAAATTTCAAATATTCAAATTTGCGAACTTCGAAATTCAGAAATTTTGTCACTGTCAAATTCAGTAATTTATACATTGTCAAAATGGTAAATTCTCAAATTTATAAGTTTTTAAAATAGTAAATTCCAGAATTTACAAGCTTTTAAAATCATAAAATTTCGAATTTATAAATTCTTAAAATCACAAATTTTTTAAATTAAAAATTCTTGAATTTACAAGTTTTTAATATCACAACTCCTCAAAGTGAAATTTTAAATTCGCAAATCCGAATTATGCTAAGGGATACACTTTATCCGCTTATACAAAAGATACTGATTTATAATATAATTTTTGAAATATTAATGAATACATTTATTGAGGTATAATATAAATCAATTGTTGAATTAATTAAGGGATTAAAGATGTCATCTGCATTATCACACACATTTGTGTACAATCTATTGTCAAAATGCCAAATTCTATTTCTTAAAAACGAAACCGAATATGAAAACATATTATATTTTCCTTTCGTCTTATTTTTGCATGTAGAATCCATATCCCATCCTTTGCACTGGATTTTTAGGACACTTTGTATATTGGAACATAATGTGATGGTTTTCCGAACAAAATTGCATCGACGATATAAATTTCGATCAATATGAACGATCATAGGAACATGTGGACGGCTATATGTATAGCTAAATTTTTATTTAAATGAAAATTCTCAAATTACACTGATGGATTTCACGAAACCTTTGACACCGTCAAAAATATAAAATCACAAAATATTTCTGAAAGAAACGTGAAGTAAATCTATTTTATTAAAAAGAGAGAAATGATTGATATTAATGGTGATAAATATTTAGGAAATACGTGAACAGAACTTCTTACTTTCCATATATTCAAAATTCAAACTCAAAGGCAATATTTACTAATATAATAAACAAATATTAAGTATGCTACTATTTATTTTGATGAAATACAAAAATGCTGCGTTTTTTTTTCAATTTGCAATTAGTTTCTTATTTTAACAGTAAAAAATAAGAAGTAGAATAGATTTAAAGACAAATCGTTTAATTGCAGTTTTATCATTTTTAAAATATTAGTAAACGATTTAACAATTCAGAATGGAGTAAATATGGTTAAAAATATGTACACTAATTCAATTTGTTGCTACAGTTTACATTCATATGGATGATACAAAACTTGGTTAACAATGACGTCAATAACGCGCAAAATATTGATCGTGTACATATACAATTTGAAAAATATGTCTTTTGAACATTTTAATATTTTCCGTGTATCACTTTGTTAATATTTTTAATAATAAAAATGCATACTATAACGATTTAATATTTAAGTGAATTAAAAGCTTCATTTAATACTCGCGCTTTATATTTTTTCAATTTGAGATTAGAATAAATTGGAGCTACTAAAATAAATTCATTTATTGTATTATAAAATGAGACAGTACACTGGTACTGTGGAACAAAATACAAATATAAAAATTATATTATATATATACGTATATAACATTTAATGCCTTCTATTATATGTTTAATCCCATTATACACGATTTAATAATTACTCATTGTTATTTAAAAAATCATACTGCTAATTATTATTTTACTTAGATGTTCCTAATCGTTTAATGTTTTACGTCGTTAAACAATCATTTCAACATTTCAAAGTTATAATTAATAAATTATTATTCAATAAAGAGTAACTGCATATCATAGGAAAAATCAAGTTTTCAGTTTATTACTATTTCTATGACGATTTTGTGTATATCTATTTCAACCAAAAGTGTCTTTTGACACCTTTTCGTTTGAATGCAGATAATTGCCAAAACTGGTCGGATTTCAAGTTATCAATTAAATGCAGATAATTTGAGGAATATATTTATTGATACATACATTTGTTTTTATTAAAGATTATTTAATAAGGGTGTACTAGCTTAATTCATTAATCTACAAAATATTATAATGGTGTAAAATGCAATATGGCGAGAAATAGGCAAATATCAAAGTTATGTCGCAACTTCTGTATTTTCCGTTGGAACTGAAATCGAGATTCTCTAATCTGATTATAATTGATATGATGCTGGTGTTGTGATATCAACACAAAATGATGTCAATATTTATATGTAAAATGATGTAAAATTAGGCACTGTCATCAAATCCTTAAGGTGTTAAAGGATACCTTATGAAATAAGTATCCCAAATGTACATTTTTAGATCTAGGATGAACTGGAAGGAAATGATATCGCTGAATTAATTTAACAACTATTGTATGAACAGTCAAAAAATTAATTGTGGTGTAATGATTCGATTTAGGGAATAATTTTAAGTTATAATTTGAAAGGTGCCTTTTGATACTTTTTGTTAAAAACAGTATAAAATAATAATCTACCAATTTAAGTACACGCTGAAGTTGTTATATAAATATACACAGAATCTTGCAATGAAAGTTTCAGGAATAATTCGCTAAGAAAATAACTTGAAATCCGAAATGTGTAGTCTTCTCCGTACTCTACGCCTTGTTTTCAGAAGTAATCAAAATCATCTTCGACTTCGAGACATCAAACGAAACAAATAATTCCTTCATCGAACTTGAATGTTCTTTTTATTGTTTCTGAACGCGTTGCGGACTCGGATCTTCCAATTCCCCTGAAAATTCTGCTTCCAAGAAAGGGCGAGTTCTATGAAGAAGGGTAAGACGAAGCGGAAAGAGAGCAAGTTCCTTCGACTCGGCTCTCAGAAGAAGAAAAATGGCGTCTCGTGCTTTGTCAAGGTATGGGTGGATGAGAAAAGGCGCGTTCTTCGGACACAATCGATACCGTTGCCAGATACAGATATCCGTGCGTGTGTGTATGTGTGTGAGCACGTTTGATCTAACTTTTTTTTGCTTTTTCTTTAATATCCGCTTTTCTATCATCCGTTACGAATAGTACGGAGTTTCGGTTTCCCAGCTGCAGTTTTTTGCGAGCGATAAGTAGCAGTTGATAAAAGTTTTATACCTTTCCGCTATCTCTCCAGATAATGTTTATAAAAAGAAAAAGTGTACGTGTTATTACGTAACGATTATCTCATGGTTCGCCTGTTTGAAATACGCAGTAGAAAAGTGTTTTAACACTTTGAGTATCATGTCAACCATATCTGGATGACGTGTGACTCCTCACATAAATCTACAGTTTACATCAATACACAAGCATTTTACATCAGAAATTAGAAGTAACTTTGTTAAATAAATGCTTGAGTTTATATAAAATTGAAGATTATGAACATTTGGAAATTTGGAAGTTTTAGTATTTAGGAATTTAAGAATTCGGAATCTTCTAAATTTAAGAGATCGGAACTTCGAAATTTGGACTACTAAATTTGGGAACCTGAGGTTCAAGAGTTTTTGAAGTTTGAGGACTTTACAAAATTGGAAATTATGAAATTTAAGGAACTCAGAATTGAGATCAGAGAAGTTAAAAAATTGGGAGTTAAGGAATTTAGAAATATAGAAACGTGGCCTTTGACATTTGGAAAATAGGAAATTTAGGGATTTGAGAATTTAGGGGTCTGAAAATTTGGAGCTTTGGACATTTGAAAATTAGAAAGTTTGGTTATCGATAATTTGGAAATTAGAGGATTTGGGAATTTAAATAACTTAAAGAATTTAGAGAGTTTAGAGAATTTAAAGAATTTAGAGAATTTAGAGAATTTAGAGAATTTAGAGAATTTAGAGAATTTGGAGAATTTGGAGAATTTAGAGAATTTAGAGAATTTAGAGAATTTAGAGAATTTAGAGAATTTAAAAAATTGATAGAATTTATCTAAATTTGATCTGAAATTTTAGTATTTTTGGGTAGAGCGTAGTATAACTCAAAGCGATTGTAAAAAAGAACATGTTGTAAATAATGTTATTTAAAATGTGATTTATATTGTAACATATATGTATATTCACAGAATATTTCTCTCAGAAGTTTGAAGGTCTTCAATGTTTTTTTGTACGTATTTATATATCTTTTGTATTGCATGTATAATAACACGATCTTGAAATGACTTTGAACACTAAAAATTAAAATGTTCTTTAAGTCTTATTTTAATATTGTTGCAGGTTGCATTATGAAAGCTGCATACTATTTACACTAATGAATCTACATTAATCTACTGTATACTAAAACTGTGAATCTACTGTAAACTTATATGTGGGTATAATAAGAATGAGACGTGAAGATTTGAAGTCGTTCCAAACGATTAAACTCGTCTAAATCTATCGAAAACGATATTAAACACGATTATTGTTGATTTGACGTGGTTCCAGTCGATTCTGTGTGTCAAAAATTGTCGAAAACGATACCAAAGCACAGTTATGACGATAACGTCGAGTTTCTGTTGTTAGATTGCCGCCAAAATCTAAACGCCAAATGTAGAATGTCTCACGACTCTACTCTCAAAATTTTAATGAAAAGACCCAAATAGATAAACGATCAAAATATCCCAGTAGCCTCAGTAGTTTGGCAAAAATAATATAGCCTTGAAGAAAAAAGTATTCTCGCAATATGTTGATCATTTAAAAGTTTTTAACCTCTAAATTAGTAAATTTTCAAACTCGCAAAGTTCTCCATTCCTGGATTTCTAAAGGTTTAGTGTTCCTAATTTCAATACTTTCAAATGCTTAAGTTCTTAAATTCATAAATTTTCAGGCTGTAAAGTTTCTAAATTTCTAAATTTCCGTATCCATAAATTCTAATATCCTCTAGTACCTAAATTTCCAAATTTTCAAATCCCTATTTCCGTAAATCTTTAAATCTGCAAATACCTAAATACATTTTTAACTTCCAAATCTCCAAATTCCCAAATTTTTAAATCTATGTATATTCATGTACCCAAATTTCTAACTTTTCATAATCCTAAATTATTAAACTAATAAATTCCTAAATTACTAAATTTCACAGTTTAAAAATGCTTAAGTCCCTAAATTTCTAAATTTCTAAATTCCCAAATCCTAGATTTCCAAATTTCAAAATTCCAAATTCTCAAGTTCTCTAATTCCTAAATTTCCAAATTCCTAATTCTGTAATTTGAAACTTTCAAATATTCCAATTTTTAAATCCCCAAATCACTGAATCTGAAAACTCTTAATTTTAAAATTTTTCCCACGAGAAGCTACATTTGTTCTCAAATGTACACTGTAAGTTCTACTCGTATTACTTATTTAAGCAATGTATCATGGATCTAACATGTAAAGAATAATGAACATACTCTATAACAGAATTCGTAGTACATATATACTATGTCATGAAAGATATGAAATGACAGCAATTTCACTTCCATTCTAAATTTATCTACCTGTCAGATCTACATGATGAAACTGCAAATAAGTTAAGTGAACTATAAATGTTTATGAATTTGATATTATCAACCTATCTCTTACGAATTCAGGATCGAAGTCTGCAATATAAATCATGTGATCTATAAAAATTGTTCTCTATGGATAAATGGCTTATTTATACTATGTAGATTTCGAAATTTTCTCTAATATTTGTAATTAATTGTATTTAAAAAAAAAAAACGCAAAATCAAAGAATATCAATAAATCATTAAAATTAATAGTGATACCTAACTATATACAATTGTTACTTTTTTTAACTTATAACGTTTCTTGTTACATCCCTAAACTGCCTTACAGCTAAGTTACATATTTGAGAATATAAAGTGTTTTCTATTTTTACGTGTCATAGTTGTTATAGTTCATTGATGCAACATAGTGCAGATATAATTCGAACCCATCACTACTTCAAAATGAATTTAATTATAATTACAGTGTGAAGGGAAAAAATCGTAGTAAATATGAATTAAATATAATTCATCCAACAATAAGTATTCAATATCTAATTTTGTTAGCTAATATTTAGACCATGGTGGTCGACCTATAATCATTATTTCAGGCGAATTCATTCACGAAATGAATATATTTAATTACTGTATACTAATGTATTGAAATATGTATTTAATTTCTTCCAGAGTATGTTATTTTGTATAATAAACATTATGGACGTTGTCGAAAAAAACTGTGCATTATCTTTAATAAAGCTTAAAGCTATGAATACCATATCTTACTATAATGTTATAGCTATAAATATGGTACCTTACTGTAATGTTATAGCTATGAATATGATATCTTACCACATATAATGTTTATAACTATTGACTCGATCAGAATACACGATTCAACTGATACACTAAAATTGTTTTACATATCCACTCATTGTACATATACAAGTCGTTTGAAGTTCTAAGTACAACATAACCACAATTATAATTATAAAATAATATTTTATTTATTGATGTTTCTTGTTTACTGAACTATTCGTGATTTTAAACACCTTTAAATGTTTAAAAAGTGTCTACAGTTATTTAAACGTTTTAAGCATAAAGCAATTAGTTTACAGTTACCCTGAATGTTGAGTAAACCGTATTCGTTTATGTAATTGTCCAAGTGCTGTCTTATTGAACTAGTGTCTTTATTTACTGTATTATTTGTGACTTTAAACATATATATATTTAAAAAAAAGTGATTGTTGATGATACATTGAAAAAAAAATTGATACTAAACTTGTTTATGTAACTGTCCAAATGCTGTTTTATAGAATTGATGTCTTGTTTATTGTATTACTATGATTTTGAACAATTGCAACTACTTAAAAGGTGGCTACAGCCATTTAAACATTTTAGGTATAGAAATAAAGCATTTAGATTTGCAGTTGTTCTGAATCTCAAGAACTGAAACCGAACTTGTTTATGTAACAACTTAATAATTATTACGTTTGAAACAGTAAAAATAAATTATAAATAATTATTGGTACTTACTTGAAAAAGTCGTCCTTGCAGAAAACATGACCATTCCTTGCAAAACATTTGTCGGTCAATCTTGCACCGCAGTCTCTACACGTGAGACACCTCGCGTGCCAGCACCTTTCGAGAACCCTTAGAACGTACTTGTCCAAAATCGCTTCTTGGCAGCCTCCACATTTTGGTATCGAGGCTGCAACAATAATCAATTATTTTATGCAATAATTGAAAAACATCGTCAATTTGTGAAGAAAAATTTCAACAATTACGTTCGCGATTCATGGTCGAGCACACGTACATTTTTTAATAAGAATAATGTATAAATTAACGTACTGTAAATATTAGGTAATGGTTATCAGTGACCGAAACTATTTCAAAATAATCGAATAATAAATCACAGAAATGAAACAAAATTTTAAATAATTTTGAAATATACATAAGATGCATAAATTGGAAGATCTCATATTTATATTTATATGCTGAATAACTACATTTTAAGAAAATTCGTATTCTAAATAATTGTATTCTGAATAATACATATTCGAAATAACTATAATTGTAGCATAACTACATTACTTAGTGTTTGGAAAAAATTTCACCTTCCACTTTAAATAGCGAGGGAATTAAGGTGTTCTCTGTTTTGATTTTTTTTATTTTATAATTTTATAGTTGGTAGTACTGTGTTTAGTCGTTATATATAATATATGCATTTAGTTATTGTTATTAAAATAATTTTCAGTGTCCATTTACAGTGAAAATGGAAGAGTACATGATAACATTGTATGTTCGAGGTAACTGAAATAATTGATGACATTTATGATAAGAATATCTTAGAATTAGACAAAGTTCAAGTCAATGTCACACGGTCAGTCTAATACATAATTAGTCTCGTATTAATTATACTAATAATACTCAAATAATTATCAAATAAATAAATTATAATTTCACTCTATTTTTGCAATTAAATAATATATTTGAATAATGATTATTTAAATAATATATTACCGTATTTGGCTCTCTGTTATTATTATTTAGCTATAAAACGAAATAGACTTTTAGTTTATTTAATATTTTATATTTGATTACATTTTTATTGAAATAATTTCTTAAATACTTCTAATTTCTCTTTGCCAACTGTGTCAGAAATAGTTTTCAGAAAACAGTTAGTAAATTGATTTATACACAGTAACAAGTAATTATACCAGCACCTCTTATAACGGATTACTTTCATTTTATTTCATGGATTTAATTAATTTAAATGAAAAAATTATTTGAACACTATTTACTTGAATTTCATACAAAAGTATAATAGCTTCCTGCATTATTCCTAAAATAAAGAAAAATAAATTATATTTGAAGATTAAAAGTTGAGGATCTTTATTTGAAATGACTATTAATTAAATTTCATACTGTTTTTTTATCATTTCCAATAAGATGATTTAAATAATTGTATGTACGAAATGAGAAAAAGTACGAAATGATCTGTAAGAAATTGTTTGAGATAACTATAGAAATTATAATATTAATATCTTATGCAACGATTTATCTTATTTAAAATAATTGTTTATAAAGTGTTTATTCAGGTAATAATAAATTTATGAAATTTGAAAATTTGCCATTGTTATTATCCAACACTTTCGACTTATCATCAATATGGATGCCTCGAAAAAAAGTTGTCACTTATATTTGACAGTATTTGAATAGATTCTACTTAAAATTTATGTAATATACTATTACAGCAGTGCACCAAAATTACAGATCAAAATGCTGGAAAATAAAAATAATGATTATTTCTTTTGAAATTTTCAAAAAACTTGTTATTCAAACTTGTTATTCAAAAAGTCTGTACAATGTAAATTCTTGTAATTTATGAACCGGTTACTCCTCTGCTGTCCTATATCATTTTTCCAGTACCACATCAACAATTTAAATATCTATTACTCTAAATCAAAACCTTACGGGAACACACCAAATGTTGTATAAAGTTTTTTAGGTTTTATTTCTAATACAAAAAAGATGATTAGTAATTTGTTATGAACTTTTAATTAATTACGTTTAATTTCCACAATAATTTCCATGAGATTAGAAAAAAAAAGTGATCTAATGTTTATGCGGATATGACTGGAGAGGGTTGATACAGTTGAAGCAAAACTAAATAATATTTCAATAATCCCTTTGTACATTTATTCGAACTTGAATAAGAAACGTGTAAAAAAAGCTCCTCCCCACCGACGGAAGAATTAATACAAAATAGCAAAAGAGAGGAAACATAAAAATGAAGCAGTTTATTTTGTGCAGATCTTATAATTGAATATTTTCTCTTATGTATATTTTGTATCACTATTTAGATAATGTTTAACACTTAATCTACCGATTTGGAACGTAAAAGTAATGAACTGCTAGTTACAAATACAAACTTTCATCGTTATTTACAAGAGGAGATTTATTATAGATTACGTAGAGCTTGCTTACTTTAGGAAAGTAGTAAGTTTCCCTTAGACATCTGGAGACTTTCTTGAGTTATCAACCAAAATTTTTAAAGAATGATTCCAATAACATTCAACTTGAAAATGAAAGCACTAATATTTGATCTGAACATAGTATCGAACGTATTATCACATCAAATAATTGATATTTCATAACAATTAATTCACGATAACGAAAACCTTATGACACAACAAGTAAACACACTTTGACTAATAGAAAACGTCACATTGACAAATTCGTTTGTAATAATCATAACCTATTACCAGCTACTAAGAGTACTTTCTACTGACACATGATACTCTTGTTTACCTATTAACCTTTTAAATCCAAGACACGATTATAGTCTTCTCGAAGATCTGTGATGAACCAAGTTAGCGAAAAGTTATTGAGGTTGACTATTTATTCTCTACATTCTTTATGTCAAATGACAAACTTAAAAAATTGAACAAATTTAATGCGGATCATCCTAGTGTTTTAACTCTGTTATGAGATTTAAATCCATATTTAAAAGGGATAAATTAAAATATGAAATTGTATCAATCCTTCCCACATATGTATGTAACAACTCCATCCTTCCCTAGTGTCGTTAATTATATGTATTTTATTTATTTTAAATCAGTAGCAATTAAATGACAAAACTAATGATGCACAAGAAAAAAGACAGTCCACGTGGTTGTTGTTTGTTTAATTTAAAAAATAAACTAGTTGCATGCAAACTGTACATAATCAAACTGTTATATTAAAAAAATGTTGTATGTTATAACTAATAGATGGAATAGAATTTTATTGAAATGTTATAATATTATTTATTCATCATGATACATGTGTTTGGAAGCAAAAGTTGAAGACTTAAGTATAAGTCGAACTATTATTGTATCAAAAAATGCAATTATTTAAAAATTGTATTGAGTGTGCCTCGTATTTTTAAGAAGAAATCTCTTGAGTATCAGAATTTGCCTACACTTTGTATGTCAGTATTATTAACACTAACCGCATCAGCGTATGCTGCACACATGATTAAAAATTCAAAATAAAGTAGTAAATAAATAAACAAACAATAAAACCTAATTGAACACACACATTAATTCTATATCTCGATAAAAATTAACAAAGATTCTAGAAAAACCATATTAATAAATTCTACAATTTGAGATAAGGAATTTGTGAACCGGTCGCTTAACCCAGGTAAGGTTAGCATTAAAGAGAATAATGAGTAATAAGAAACGAATAACACAGTTAGAAATGTATACTTGAATTAAGCAAACACTAGCAAGTTAAATCAACAAAAGTAAAATCACAAATAAATGTAAAAATTGAGGTTAAAATTGATGATTTCCAAACACAATAAAATCTCATTCTTCTCAATTATTCCATGTCTAAATACTAAACTTCACTTTTTAGCATCTCCAATGCACTCGTACGACGTCTACTCTAACAGAAAGGAACTAACGAAATATTACACACTTCATTTACACTACCGACGTAAAATTCCATGAGCGAAATCGAGGTTCCTCACTTACAATAAAGGATTTCTGGAAGATGAGCCGGCAAACCGAGTTCCAGAGCCGGCTGATCGAGAGGATGCATTTCGTTGTGGCTAGTTTTATCGAAGCTTGTGACGTTCACAACGTTTCCGGCGTTACTGTTGTTCCGGCGGACGTTCTGCGACTCTGGACTGTCGTGTGGCGGAGTCAAGATATCTTGACGTCCACGCCGATACATCCCTTCCAGAGACAGAGCCTCCCGGCCCAACATTTCCAAGCTTATCATAGTCATAACGGCGATTTTCGATTCGATTTAAAGGCTTTCTGTCATTTCAACAACCATCAACCTTCACCGTCCACGAAACAATCGATTTATTCGCTTTATCTTCGTGTAACACCTCGGCTGAACGTTGATTTTGATTTTCCACTTTCTAAAATATTGATTCGTTGAATCTTTCTTAAAAGTTGTTCTATTATTTAGAGCTTTCGAAAGTTTGTAGCATTCAAATGCACTTTTACGAGGAATCTACCTTTCTTTCATACGTGGAACGAGTAAAACGAACTTCAGGTTCTTATATTAATTTCTTATGCTTTCGTCAAAACATAAACTGACTTCTATCGTGATACTGAAGGATTATGAACGTTAGTCTGTTCCCCACACTTCGGTTATTTATTTTGCATCTTATTCTCAATCTGAAAGTAAGTATGCATCCAGCACCAGTCGTTGTACCTTTAACATTCATTATTCGGTCTAAAATCCTAATACCTAGAATATTCACCTCACAACCGTAATCTCAACGCAAGGAGTGTCTCATAGTGCACTTTTCTAAAAACAAACATACTTCAATCTCGCGCGTGTCAGTTCGATGCGTTCAAATGTGTCCTTCGACAAAACGCTTCACCAAGTTCATTCAACAAGCCAATCAAAGCAGTATAATCGGAGGAACCCAACACTGTGTTATTAATCCATTGAAACGTAATTTATCAGATAACGAAGCAACAATATAGATAGTCAGAGAAGCGAAATCATTGACAGTGTATCAGCAACGAGCGATGCTAACGATGCGAGGATACGCGAAAGACTGTTCCAACGAAAGTGCAGCTGCTCGTGCGCACGTGACACTTGTGGGTGTGGCAGATTCCCGGTGGGGCATGCGACAATTCTATTGGCCATGGCTCGCACCCCCGCTTCTAACGCTTCCACGCCGATTGGAGGAGAGAT